ATGGGAAACAGTATCAAAAGCTTTAGCCAAATCTAGGTACACAACTGATACTGTTTTACCATTGTCCATTTACCATTGATGCAGACCAATCGGAAAGATTTGCCAATATTTGTGAAGAAGTGGATTTTTTTGTACAAAAGCCATGCTGATAAGGAGATATAAAATTATTGGCATCAAGATGAGTAACCAATTTGTTGCAAATCAATCTTTCGAGTACCTTGGTATCAACACATGTTAAGCTAATAGGTTTGTAATTAGAAGCCTCATAGGCGCTTCCTTTTTCATGAATGGGAACTATATCGGACAATTTCCAAATTTTGGGATTAAGGCCAGACATCATAATATCTTTATAAATTAAAAATAGGGTAAGACTCAGAGAGATTGCACATTTTTTATAAATTATTTGTGGAATGTTATCGGGACCAGCTGAAGTGGACAGCTTAAGTCTATTTAAGGCATCATAAACATCCAGTAGTGTTATTTCAACCTCGCAGAAAGAAGTGCAACAAATTCGATTTACGTTAAAATAGGAAGTGTGAGTATTATCCTCAATAAACTTACTAGAAAAATACTGATTAAATACATTTGCAATATCAATATCAGAGGTGATCACATTATGTTGCAGAATTAATTGTTTATGTGGATTTGCAAATTTTCTTTTGATATAGGCCCCGAAAGAATTCCTATCAATATTTAATAGTTGTTCTTCTTTATTTGAAAAGTAATTATGAATTGCGCTACGGAAACTTTTTAAGCTTTCTTTATATGCAGAGAGGTCATTTGGCAATTTGGTTAATTGATACTTATTATAAAGCTCCTTGACACTTTTATTAAGGGATTTTAGAATAGTGGGAATTGACCTAATGTTCGTTTTTCTTAAAGGGATATATTGGTCTATTAGATATAAAATGATGCTATTAAGAAAATTAACCTTTTGATCGATAGAGGGAATTAAACAGAATAAGAAATCCCAGTTTATTTCCGCGAGGATAGAGTTAAAGATTTCATAATTACAGTGACGGTAACTTCTAGAAAATCTCGAGGGAGGTGATTAACGGTCTAATTTTAATGAAGCATGAATGATATTGTGATCACTATTACAAAAAGGTTCCAAGACTCTAATACTATCAACAACAGAGGTAGGGGCAGCTAACACAACATCTAATATAGTATTGTACCTAGTGGCCACCTTAATATGTTGCTCTAGACCAACTTAAGTACAAAAGTTTAGAAAGCCCTCTTCAAATTTATTGCTATTTTTTAAACAACTATTTTCCCAATCTATGTTTGGCATATTAAGAAGAACAATTACATAATCAGTACCAATTAATTTTAATTTGATAACAAGTTATAAAGATCCCTAGCGAATTTGCTTCCATAGCCCGGTGGGCGGTATAGATTTAAAAAGGTAATGTTTCTGTTATTAAGATAAATTTTATTATCAAAGATTCAAAAGAGGAGCAAACATAATCATCAAAGGTTATAGATTTATAATAATCAGGAATAAGCATGATAAGCCCACCTCCACGAATATTTGAACTATTTATTGTTCTATCCTTGCGTAATACTATAAAGCCGTCAAAGTTTAGTTCGCGATTATCAATAGAGTCATCCAACCACGTTTCATTGATACAGAAAATACTGTTTGGGTTATCAATTAGTAAGAGACTTAAGTCATAAAGTTTATATTTTAAACTTCTTGCGTTAAAGATATATAAAGATAAATTACCTCCTATTTTATAACCTTACTTGATAACTTGTCCTAGCAGACTGATGAAAATATGTTGGAATCAAAAAATTGCTCGTCGGTGCAATCCATTGGCGAGGCTGCCTGAGTTCCACTATTTGAAGATTTCTGACTACATACTTTTTCAGATTGAGGCTTTGATTTCGTGTTTAACATTCTTTTTGCAGCTGTTTATCTAGCAATAATTCTCTTTTCGTCAGATCTTTTCGCAAAAAACTTCCAGAGGGAACGATCGAGCGCACATCTTTGTTACGCAAAACACATGGCCATATGCTTATCTTCGAGACGAATTTTAAGTACTCGTGGCCTGCCTGTCCCCTTCCTTCCATGACGACGAACCTCCTTAATGAATTCAGTCTTGAACCAAGCGGCAACTACAATGTTTTCTGCTAAAAGCCTATCGGCAGTAGCAGATTCATCATCCGTAGATTTCTCTGGAATGTTTATGCCAACTAGATATGGTTCTTTTTCCTTCTTTTCAAAATATTCTTCAATGGTTTCCAATACTTGTTCAGTTTCAATTTAATATCATCCTTAAGTTCTTCGTTGACCTTTGTAAGTATTTCAACAGATCTAGTTAAACGCATAATTAGATCTTGTTGTTTTTCATATTTCTCAGTAATGGAAGCTAGTTGTGACCTCAGATCCTCGACATTATTGGAAATGGCCCCATAAGCTGCTACCTTTTTCGGTCCCATTTGGAATTTCTTCTTATCTTACAAGTGAACGGTATAAAACAATAAGATCAATATACTTTTGAAAAGAATATCTTTCAGACGAATGTAATAAGATTAATATATTCCTTCTATAATTTAGCGAAGCACAATACAATAAAATAATGAAAAACAGAGAGAATGACTAACATAACCGCTCACGAAAATAGAATAGAATAATCCCATCACAGAACGTCATTTTGGCTGGTTAGGATGCGTTCTTCGTTGCCCGCCACAAGACTTCACACACACTTCGTTATTTGCTAAATTCCGTGATGAGTGGCGTCAAGCATGTGGACCTGGCATTCACGATTGCAACTTGGATACGTCTTACCCTTGTAGCCAATCTAACCAGTAAAAGA